ATATATATATATATATATATATATATATAATGGTTTATTTCAAATTCAAGTAACACCTCGCAGCCAATGGCTGAATTATGTGATACATTTACAATTGATTAATACTATATTTACGCAAATAAACAGTCTAACGTATAATATTTAAAATCGAGGTATGTAGGTAGCGCATTGAATAAAAACAATTGATAACAAGTGGTTGGTTATGGTATGAAACTACATGTATTGTTTCTTATCCTTTATGAGGGTCTGTATGGAAAGATGCAGGAAGGGCTTAATACTTAATAAGAAATGGTAAATTCAGGAGGGCTGGCAACTCTTAGGTAAATTAAGAAGCATTAGGGCATTAAGGCAGGTCGGCAACACTTAGAAGTAAATAGAGTTGTCATCATGTGCAAAGCTTTGGGAACTTGTCAGTGGATGCCGGACAGTCCATGAGGACTTTGGGGCAATCCGGCATTTGACTATATATATGAAGACTTAGTATACATATAGAGTACATGTACATGTACATGTAACTATTTGAGCACAGGTTGCTGAACTCCTGCTGTAAACCCTTCTGTTCAGACCTGCAGGGTTACGAGTCTCGAGTCCGTGCCCAACTCGGCGGTACCGGCAGCTCTAGCTGGCAGCAGTACGAAACAGCCATCAGGATTCTACAGGCCGAGGCCAACAGCAGCCACACTAGTACCGGTACTGTGGAACTGCTGCAGGCTCAGGCAGAGAGCACAGGGTCGGAAATCAACTGCCCAATGCAGAACTCTCACACAGTTCCTACCTCAGGTATTATAATAAAGAAAGTTTATTGCAAATACTTGCCCGAGCTAATTGCAGTTACAAACATAAGAAAGAAAATACAGTGGTATGTGAGACTATATCTACGTCTAGCATTATACTATATTCTACAACATACATGCATGGTACTTAAGTTTTACTGGGTTCGACTTCTTCTTTTTAGGCAATCTTTCTTTCAATCACATGAAAGGAAAACTTCCACTTTACTATTTGCTTGTTTCGATTTAAAGATGTAAATTTACTGCTTTGACTTCATGGCCTGTGACACATTCAGGTTTCTGATCTCTTCTTGTTCCTTTTTTGATAGGTTACACCCAATTTATTAATAGAACAACGATATCACGAGGAAGGTCATGTGAAATAGCTAGGATGTGTTTGTACATGTTAAAATGTGCTTCACTCATGGGAAATTTAATGTTTAACTCTCTAAAACTACAAAAAAAGCAACATAGAAAAGGGAAGCAAATTTGCATCTCTTGAATTGAGATTTTCTACATTGTGCAAATTTTCAAAAATCAGTTTTCTGTTACACAACATTTTTACTACAATATAATGGCCTCTAAACAATCCCAAGGTCGTACGGACGTTGATCTGGACAAAGTGCACCCTGAGCAAAGGCCCCCGTGGTGTCCGTGGTGATTACTTAGTGAGATAAATGCCTGAAGGGTAAACAGGTGGTATTTAATCTTGCTGATAACAAGGTGGCAAGGTGGTCCAGACTTGCTATGGTTTGCATGGAATTACACCACGCAATGAAGAAGAGTCCGACGGGTTGGCACTCGATGTCGTTTAATGCACATAAGGTTGATGGTTGTCACGGACATCGACGGCCTAGGGCTAATCCCTAGGGCAAACTATTATTGTGTTAACGTGAACAAGGGAGTAATAAGATTTAAGCGATAGGCTGAAGATGCCTGTTAGAAGTTCTAGGTTTTAGTTTAAACGAGAACGCTCGTGAAGTGTAAACATTGCTGCAGTTGATCGCAGTATTTGTGCGGACAAGTGTCTTAAAAGTCCTGGCGGTAATTGATATAATAAAAAACAGGGATGTTAAAAAAAAAAAGATTTACGCTACGATTTAGTGCGGAGACGTTAATATCGTACTCAAGGCCAACGGGCCTTACTAATGGTAACTAATAGTAATATTTGGTAGAAACTAACATAAGAAGTTGTAGAATATAACAGTCGGTGTCTTAACGTAATCTTGACTTAATCTTAACTTAAAGGTAGTTATGTTGTTGCATGCATTGAGAATAAAGAGTTCTGTGTTTGTCGCTTTGGTGTAGACGATGCTGGGGCGGGATGGTGGTTTTGGAAGAGTTCGCTGAGTCGTGTCCCTTCGAGGCGGTAGCCGCGCCGTGTGTGGTCAAGACGCTCTGCTACCGGAAGTTGCGTGTCTCAGGTCACGTGATGCTGGCGGGTGAAATTCCCCGGTATGACCCGATTGGCCATACCAACACAATTACACCACGCAATGAAGAAGAGTCCGACGGGTTGGCACTCGATGTCGTTTAATGCACATAAGGGTTGATGGTTGTCACGGACATCGACGGCCAAGCCGAGCGCATGCGGAGGTGTGTGCCAAGAAGGAGGAAGGGACCGCGTTAGGAGAGTCAGGTGGTGCGGAGTAAGAGAAGTCGGCGCATAGCTGCAGGTAGGCGGAGTCGTTGTGCCATGGAGAGCTTGAGGTACAGGAGATCGGCGTTCGATCGCCAATCCCCGTGTTGCTGGCGTAATTCCCGGGGCACCCCAGCTTCGAATGCTAAGGTGTAGCCCCCGCGTCGTAAGTCGTGTATGGTGTACGAACCCGGTGGCAGGCCGGCTTGGGACAGGAGACGTTTGAAGGACTTCTCTAGAATAGAGGCGGTGACCGGTCGTGCGGGACGGTTTGGTGGAAGGTGGGAGCAGGAAGGCTGGGGAGTCGTGGGGTTGCTGGGACGAGATGTAGCATGTTTTTGTAGGCGCTGACTGGACAAAGGTTGGAACCTGGTATGGCCAGGATTGGTGCCAGGACTTCTCTCTCGTTGGCCTGAACCGTTTTTGACCAGGAGGTTCGAAGGACGAGACCCTCTGTG